GAGTCGGTTCCGACTCGATGAACCGACTCGATGGCACCTGACAACAACAACAACTTTCTGGCTATTTTGCTCCTCATCCTTAGTATCTTCACACCGTGCCTTGGTTACACAGCGCTGCTGTAATAGAGATACCACATGGTGGTGGCTTTAATAAACAGATACTTATTTTTTCATAGTTTGGGGTACTAGATGCCTGAATTCAGAGTGTTGGTTTAAGGGAAGGTTTATCTGTGGGACCTGGCACCCCTTGGCATGCTCCATGTGGCTTCTGAGTCAAGGATGCTCTCAGCACAGGGATCCCTGGTCCAGACAACACACTCCACGCTCAGCTCTTCTTTCTTGGTGGCAGTAGGTCCCGTAATCTCAAAAGAGACCAACTCCAGATACAATGCAATCCTGCCTCATTAACACAACGGCCTCCTTCATATCATTGAGACATCAGTGATTAGAAGATCACAAAATGAACAGTGATTTTGTCACACTGAGAATCATGGTCTAGTCTGACTGGCACATACTTGAAGGGAACACAATTCGATCCATAACACACAGTGCCTACCTAATTCATAGGTGATCAAACATATTGACTGCTGAAAGAATTTACATGTTGAAGACAATCCAATAAGTAGAACTACTATTTAGGGGCTTAGTATACCATAGTCCACTTGTTATGGTCCCCAGGGAAGTGAGTCTGGATGGTAGATGGAATGTAAAATCTAGCTGCTGTGCCCCCGGTCCCTCTCACGGCCTGCTCTACTTTCCAAATTAGAGGTCACAAAACAAGGCTACTATATGCATGGTGGGCACGTTACGATGAAGAAATAGCAGCTCTCTGGAGACTAGCGGAGAATATGACAGAAAGATGGCAGGTGTTTATAGGACGGCTATGACGGCTCAGACACCCAGGGACAGCAGGGTGCTCTCTGGGGACACCTGGAGCTTGCCAGCTCCCCTCACTCAAATCACTGTACGTGCTACACACTGTTTCTCTGTGCTATGGCCAAAGAGCTGCTCCCTCTTCCACCTGCACGGAACAGATGGCACAGATGGGAACATGCTTCCACATGAGAGTGGGCAATTACACCCCGTTCCTCCAGCTCGAACAATCACTGGGAGGACACCCTGGGGAAGGAACGGCCCTGGCAGATCACTGTCTTCCATGCCGCCACACGCCGGTACTTCTCCCAGGAGCAGCTGTTGTAGCCACGACTTCTAGTTCCTTTCAGTGCTTCCTGGAATCGAAGTATTTGAAATGTATTTGGTGTGATCAGAACACAAGGCAGTCCTCACACAGGCTGTGTAAGTAAGAAAATAACAAAGCTTTATTTACTTTGCTTATAAAGATGGCCCTGCTTGTTGGTGAAGTGGAAAGAATATATAGAGATCTCAGGGGCAAACAGATGTTTGTTTGTATGTATGTAGCTGCTTCAAGCTGCATACCAGAGTGTCAAAGGAGTCACAGGAAAGGGGTGGGTGTAATGCTCTCTAGTTACAGCAGTAAAGTGGAAAAGAAAAGTTAAATGAACATAATTAATGCTAGCCATTCCCACAGGGAAGAGGCAAGAGGACTCCAGGTCCCTCAGCAGTCAGATTAGATACTGCTCCGCACCCACCCCCAAAGTTCTCTCTTCAGCTCAGTCTCCTTTGAAGTAAACCAATCTGGATCCACAGGAACAGGGCTGGTGGTCAGAAGTTCTATTTCTGAGCTGACTGACAGGGAGGCCGAGTCCGGGCAGACCAGACAGCCTGGCTTTGCTGAAGCTCCTACGTGCAGCAGTGTCGCATGTGGAAGTTGACGACATACTCGGCATTAGTCCTCTGCACGGAAATGGCGAAAGGCTCAAAGGGGTGAAAAGTGAAGGCAACGAGGCGTCGCACCGTGTGGTTGATGGGGCGGCCCAGTAAGCCTGCCTGGATCTCAAACTTGAGCAGACCAGAGTCCCGCGCGTAGAACCTGCACAGAACAAGAAGACAGGGAGGACGGTATTAAAAGCCACTGCCACCTGGGAATCTGGCCGCACTCATGAAATCTCCTAGCACGTCAGCCCATGCACAGTCACCAGGGCCTAGTCAGCGTTAGCAGGAGCTGTGCTGAGTCACAGGGTTATTTCCCTTTTCCCAAATGACCCTTACTTAGCCTCTTCCAGAAGCTATTGAGTCAGGATTGTCTGGGGCAGGGCTACAAATACGATGCACGTTGTGTGCGTACTTTTAAATTTTCAAGTAGTCACATTCAAAAAGAATAAAAGAAATACGCGAAATAATATTCTGAACTATTAACATTTTAACATAACCAATATGTATGAGGGTGCTTCAAAAAGTCCATGGAAAAATGGACTTAAAATAGTGGAGGAAAAAAAGAGAGTGGAGTTTTCCCACAAACTGAAGCCCCCTTGTCTGTATCAACGAGCTGCTTCTTTCCGTCATACGTCAGTGTGTGGTTGACACTTAGGGCAGGCTCAACATGAACTAGCCATATTTAAGGGCTCAGCTGGCACATGTGGCCAGTGGCTACCAGCTACGACAGCGCAGGTCTAGGCCCGTCTTTGAGTTTTTCATTTTAAAAATGAATCCATTTTGAGCAGTTCTTCTTTCTCACACACAAAGTACTTTCCTCACCACCACCTTGAAATCTGGAGGCTGAGGAAAGCTGGCCACGTGTTATTTTCCCTGATAAATGAACTCTCCTATCAAGAAGCTCTGGTAGC